CTGTCGGGGATGCAGCTGCAGAACGGTCATTGGATACGGGGCTCTGGGCCTTGGAATGCTTATATTTCAGGAAATTCTCTCTACCGCATGACTCATACATCGCCTTGAACTCCTCAAATGACATGACCTTTTCGATGTTGGTTTTATCATCGTCACTGGTGGGATTTGGGCTATGTCGCTTATCCTTGTCGGCGGTACTGTCAGCCATGGTGTTGGTGTGGATTGCCGACGCGAGGATCGTGCTTTCCGTAAATACTGGAAAGAACTATGAACTCTACCCCACCCTCCTCAACTATATATATTTATATTTAGTGTTATATTAATTTATTAGTGTGAAATTGACTTCACTAAGAGTGTAAAAGCCCTTTTTGAAAATACCGACACCACTAACAATACCACTAATAAAAGGGTCAATACAATAAATAGGAATAACAGAAATTTTTGTAGAATATCAGGATACCCAACCCCCAAAGACAAGATGGATCGCACAGCTTGATCCTAATGCCAAAACAACAACAACTAAGAAAGCATCAAATCAACATAAAATATCGTACGCGTATCGCCTAGGCAAGGCCAAATTTCTTGAGGACCTCGACGTTGTGCTTTGGCATCTTCTGAAGCGCCTCCTGGCGCGCGTCGCGCCAGGCCTGGCGGAGCTTTTCCTTCTTGTTATAATGCCGCTGCGACTTCTCCACACGGGCCTTCTCGAGCTTCTCCACGACGTCGCTGTACTTCCAGCCCACGTGCTTGCACATGTTCCCCAGGACGGTGTAGGGGCGCTCCGCGCGGTAGCAGTGGTGGCGCTGGGCCCGCGGGATCACGACGCGGCCCCCCGCCCGCACGACGTTCGGGGGGACGCCCTCGTAGGCCACGAGCGAGTGCAGGGCCGTCATCCCGCGCTTCGTGTACCGCGGCAGCATAGAACGGACGGTCCGGACGAAGATGTCGGAGGGGGAGCGGTGGTGGAAGGGGCCCAGGGTGGGGTTTGTCAGCTTGCGCTTGCGGAGGAACTGCAGGTATTTGATCTTGTTGCGAATCTCCGTCCCGGCGATGGTGAGCTTCTCGCATCGCACCACCGTGATTTTCTTTCCTAGGAGTAGCTGCTTGGCGACGACGGCCGCGGCACGCCCTAGGACATGGTCCCGAAGGTCAATCACGATAATCTCGGGACGGTGCTTCTTGATCTGCTTGCGCTGGGCGCGGTGCACATTTTTACGTGAGGGAATGGCCATTTTCCAGTCACACTAGATAAACGCGTCGCTGATTGAAGAGGAGGGAAAAGACAAATGCGAGTGTAATCATATCTAGAGGCATCTTTAATGGATCGCAGCGAGGATAGTAATCAAGAAGCTATTCGCTTGAAAATTTCGCTGCTTCATATCCAATACCAAGAAAAGTTAATAAACCCGGTCGAAAACGAATTAAATTGTAGCAACTGTACATGGTGGTTTTGGATACAAAAAAATAATGATTATTTTAGAAACTTAAAATCTTAACTCTACTCATCATCATCAGATAACCTAAACGCTAAGTTCTTCCTTAGTCGAACATTTACACCATCTTCATCGATGTACTCACCTTCCTCATTTATAACCCCTAAGTAACCAACCCCATATCCAACCTTCGGCATACAGAATAACCCACAAGGTGAACCATCGACCTGTGGTGACTCTGAAGAGCTAGAAACACTGCGAATTAAAACCTCGGAAGCTAGTTTTTGCTCTGGTGCACCCTTTGGGATCTTGGTCTTATTTTGACGGGGTAATCTCATTCTATTTTTTACACGTTTCTTTTTCTTTGGGTTAGGTAATGAAGACTCTACGTCGCCACAGCGGTCATTATTCCGTAGGGGTCTTCCTTTCCGTGATATCGTACTTGGTTGGAAAGGGTTACCTGAAATACATGCACCCTTTTCCTTTGTTAACTGTGCTTTGGGCATATTGGAATCCTTTTTCTCGGAGACTCGAACCAGGCCCCTTACGGTATCTTTATCACACAACTGCATATCACTTACCCAGCTAGTAAATGGATTTTCTGTACTTGTCTCAGTTGACTGCTTACCACATAATATTGTTGTCTTACCAGCACAAGGATCCACGGTGTCCTTTGGGAGAATGGGATGTGGGCCACGCTTCAGAAGTGTTAAACAGTTCTGCTTATTATGCGGAGAATATGCGCTGTCATCTGAATCTATCATTCTAAAGTATTTGGAAGTCTTGTTGGAATCATAAAATCCCGTAATTGCTGGTAATCGTTTTAATTCTGAGGAATAGAAACTATCCGAAGTTGGAGAACTCATCTGATTTCCCGACGATGCTAAGCAGACCTGAGATGTTTCTGGGAGTGGTGATAGAATGCGAGAAGTGCTTATTTTTGAGTCGACAAAACCTCTGGAGCTAATATTAGGAATAATTTCTTTTAACAAATCCTTTGTATCAGACTTCTGATACTGTAAATCCGATAGACAGGGCACCACCCTCGGTACATTAGTGTTATGCGCTGACGAAGAAGTAGACCAAACCGGGGGTGCATATGCCGGCACCAGTGACATCGCCATTTTTGTTCTACCGTGTTGAAGGCAAAGCTCCTCGTTACTAGTGGACATCAGCATTCCTATCTTTGCGTTGCCACAGAAAGAAACAGAATCAATAAAGTTGAATGGTGGCAAATTAAATATATTGTCTACAATTCCCTTAATGTGAAACACTACCTGAACCCATTGATTGCGAGTAATAGTCAAAGGCAACATTGCAACTAGCATTCGGTTAATCGTTTTATTGCACCGCGTTTCAGTAAAATGAGTCCCAATTATTAGTTTCATACGGGAACTTACCTCATGAGTTATGATAAGCTCCAAAGCAAAGTGATTCAGTGGTGGAAGACGCAGTTGCAATACAAGTAAATGATCGCATATACCTAGTGGTGATAAAAACTGTTCGTCACGTGGAATCCGAACCTTTGTTTCATCAACCCCACCCTTAATAACAAGAACTGGATGTCTTTTTCTTTCGTTCTCGATGAAACACCCTTTTGAGTTTACAATTTTAGCTGTGTTAAGAAATTCAACACCAGGTGCAACAATTGTTTCAAATAAACAGTTCCGGGATTTCATCAAGTCCCTTATTGTATAAATTTAAGCTTATATGCCTTATACCAATGAAATCTTAGCATAGAAAAAACTACTGTATGACAGAGTATATATATCTATATATACATACATACATATATATAGATATAGATATAGCTACTCGATAGAATGAAGAGAAATCTTATTTAAATGTGAGAAAATATACATAAAAATTTTAAGACACGAATAGAAAAAATGTATATTTACTTACCTTGAGTCATACATAAGAGTTGATTTTTTTTTAATCTTATAGTTGAGACATGTGGATGAAAATCAATCTAACGTTACTCAGATCTAAATAAATTAGGCAAAGGATCGCGAATAAGCATTATGTCTCTTTGCTGAACAAAATTGGGAGGCTCAAATGTAATAATGCTGCACACGCCTTCTTCATCTATGCATAAAATACCACCACGATTTCCAAACTCATTGCAATAATTAGTTGCAGAGAATATAGTCAAAAGATGCCGCTTATGGTTATTGGGGAAAAATTGAAACCCTTCTTCAACCACTTGGTGGGCACGACAAACAAGATCGATTTCATTGCGCTTTAAAAAATTTTCAAGAACGCGTTCTGAAAAAACAAATGAAATACGGCGCGAGCTAGGTATCCAATCAACACCCTCGGGTAAATCAGACTCAGGATCTGCCCAAAGAAGGTCACAAATAATACCAGAATGAGGCACACTACAAGGACGAAAATCTGGAATATCTATCGGATATAACAATTCAGAGGAGAGTCCTCCGTGCATACAAAAAACTGTTCCATTGACAAGTGCGGCAACAGGTAAAACTCTAAAGAGGTCTGTAAATATTTTAAAAAGTTTAATACTATAGCGCCGCTTACACTCATCAAAGAACCCATATAATAGCATAATTTGCTCATCCTCATGATTTCCCCGAAGCATTGTGATATTAGACGGAGATATAATCTTAAGAGCAAGCAATGTAATCATTACCTCGATTGAGCGCGGTCCTCTATCGACGTAGTCGCCGAGAAACAAGAAGCTACATGGCTTTTCACGAAGACAATCTTCTGTATCGGTGGATTTTTTACCAAACACCTTCCCACCTAAAGGTGGGCATCGATTAAAAATATTGATCAGGTCATAGTACTGCCCGTGAAGATCACCACAAATATTCACTGGAGAATCGATCTCTATAAAAATTGGCTCACTTGAAATAATAGACTTCGCTTTTAAGATGATTTGAATAATCAACTCCTCTGGAACCCGCTGCTCGGCAACCATCTTACTTGTATAGTATTCTGGCAGTAATTCAAGCAGTCGATAAAGAACATCATATTCCTCATTCACACTTAGAGTGTAAGGAGGCAGTGTACTCAGTATACAGTCATCTAAATTTACAAAATCTCGTTGCCGTTTTTCATTTGTTTTTGAATCTCTGAGCATACTAGATCTCAATAAAAGTAAAAAAAAAGACTTCGGGAAAAGGTAAATATTAATTTAGTCCGCAAGATTACGTTAGAAAAATTCCAGAGAAAAAATGATAACCAGTTCTAAATGAAATTGAGCATGATCATTTTTTGTATTAGATGTCTATCCATTTTCTTAGACTAAAAAATGTGTAGAGAAACTTCAGTGTATTTTTCAACTTTCATCATCACCTCCAGCAACGAAGGCATATGAAAGCTGTGGTGGCTCATTGCTGGAAGATCGCTCTCTTTTTCGTGACTTTGATATTAAATCATCAGATTTACACTCGTTAACATGAATAGGGAAGTCTTCCTTAGCTTGAAATGCCCAATTATTGCTAATCCATTTGCTTAGCTTGTTCGCATCGTTTTTCGAGAGCTGAGCTCGGCCAGGCATTAACATACAAACACCTGATATGAAAATTGTACGTGTTATATTTTTATGGATATCATTATCGCAGACAAAAAGTAGCTGAACCTTTTCACCACCTTGTAAAGGTATTTTTAAGTGATAGTTTGAAATTATATTATCTTTAACACTGTATAAGGCAAATTTTTCGCTAGTAGGTCTACCTTTCCCATCTAGATGCTGGAGGAAAACTGTTAGGTAACCATTAAAGTTATTACAAGGCTGAAGACCTATGCTTCTAAGCTCAATACCAAATATAGATGAAAACAGAGGTACGTCTATGACCATGTAACTGACTTTTGGGCACACTCCACTAACATTCTCAATAGACGCTTTGATTTGAAAAGGAGAAGACAAAAGTCGTCTGAAATCCCTAGTAGGTAAATGAAGGGTCTTTTTGAATGGATACGAATCTTTGATGAACATTTTTCCTATATTTTGAATAGGTACTGAAATAACTATGGAATATCTAAAATAAAATAAATTGAGTATCGATATTTAACTATTCATTTAACTGTGTGAACAACTCCATACAATTGCCAACAAGATTCTTAAGTTATTAAATAAAATGTGAGGGTTCAGAATTATTTATGTGTAACAATAATTTCATAAGATGTTTTCATCGTAGAATTAATACTAAAGGAAAGTGGACTGCATTTGGCTACGCTGTACTTAAATATTTTATGAAAAAAGTACCAACAGCCCCCAGGGCCCATTTGATGCCAAGTCATGTAAACACGAACAAAATTTCTCTTTTGGTATTTTTTTTCCAGAAATTGCAGATCATTATACCACCTAAATTGAGAATATAAAGTAAATTTAGAATCAGTCGGCGGGGATCCAGGCTCCGACAATCAGCCCGTTCCCCCCAAAAAAATTCATAAGAATAAAAAAACGTAAAAAAATTATTAATATAAGGGCTCGCCAAGCTTTTAGTCTGAAATTGACTCCAAACGCCGCCACCTAAAAAAAAAATTTTTTTGATACCTAACTGAAAAAAAAATATATTGAGGACGTTACGGCATATCAACAATTCATTCATATTTTTTTTAATGCGGCGCATACACAAAAAAGCCCGACAGACTAGCTAGCTCGGCGTTTATCCCCGTTGGGTATGAATATCACTTGAATATCATCTTTAAGTTTAACGCTAATGACCTTAAAACGTGTTAAATGACTTGGATATATTTTTTTATTATTTAAATAACATCGAAGATCGATTTTTCTCTAAATATTGAAAATGAAAAAAATTTAACGTTGTGTTGCCAAAGTGTCAATACCTCTTATTGCTTGGTATCATTTTTTTTATGCTGTTTTTATTCACATATTCATGTATTTATATAATCATTAAATTATTTCTTTTTCTTTATTTCCAGATTCAATAGAAATTTTAAAAATACATTTTTTTCACTATGGCAACAGCAATCTATTGCGTTGAAAGCCAAGTGTGCTCCATCTGTCCGCTTTATCATTTTATAAATACCGAACAAGAATGCCATCGATTTTTGGTAGGGACATCTAATTTCACGGCAGATAACAAAATTCATCTTTTAGAATTTCAAGATGAAACTAACACTTTAGAATGCAATGTTGCTTGGAATCATGAATTTCGAATAAGTGGTATATGGAACTCACCATCGTTGTCAGGGAAAAGCCTGGTAGCGACTGCATCGACGAATACATTTCAAATACTCCAAATACCAGAAAACTTGTTGATGGAACCAGAACATATATTGTCTATAGAAAAAAAAATAACGCAAGCCCTGTGGGATTTAGAGGGACTTCAAACTGATCTTAAAATAGTTGAGCCTCAAGCTGTATGTACTTTATCATTAGAATCTGATAAGATTGGAGCTGAAACATCATTTTACAGGATCGGCCCTGATCAAATTTTACACACTGCGCTCGACCCACATAATTCCTTTTTGTGTTTGATATCATGCGCTGATTCAGGTTTACAACTTATTGACTTTCGTTCCAAAGAGGTAAATAAAATAGAAAATACGGACAGATTACATGGATATCAGGGGGCTTTACATGTTGATTTCAGTTCTTTAAAACCCAATAAAATACTAACCTGTGGTCATGATGGAATTGTCCATACACATGATTTTCGTATGAATTCGAAAAATACTGTACTAGAACATAAAAGATATATTCGAGCTCATGATCATGCTGTACGACGTGCATTTTTTAATCCTTTTCACGACGATCTTGTTTTAACTGGAGGCTCTGATCATTGTTTAAAATTGTGGGATCTTAATGACGTTGAAAAGCCTAGCTGCATCCGGCAATTGAGTTATTTTGAGGATTCTGTCATGGATATTTGCTGGAGTAGTAATGGACCTTGGGTTTTTGCTGGTGCATCATATAATGGAAAAGTTATAGTAGACACAGTTCCAAATGAAAAAAAAATGAGTATTCTGCTCGAAGAACAAAAATAAATATTTTTATATTATCGCACATTCAAA